TCTGGCTTTGATTGGAGCGTTTCAATCTGTTGGGAAGTAATCAGATGGCAGCAGTATACTGAACACGCCACGGCTGCCTCCCCAGGTTAAGGGGGAGCGAGGGAGGCAGGCAAAGAGGGCAGAAGAGTGGAAGGAACAGAGTGCAGATCGTTGTTGCCCCCCAACACACAGTTTTTCTATCTTCTTCTGGTTCCAGAGCTTTTCCTTCTTTTGTCTAGAATTGAGCAAGTTATTCAATACATATTTCTTGAGTGCTTATTTGGAGCCAGGGCTTGTCCATTAAATAATACCTGAGGCAAGGTTTTTCTAGTGAAATGAAAACCTGGCTTTGAAGCCAGGGGACTGAGAAGACAGGGAGGGGGAAGAAGGCTTTGTGGGGCGCCACGCAGGAGGCTGGAGAAGGACCTGGCAGACGGAGGGCAGAAGGTCCTGAGCCCAGGTGGGCGTTGTTTTGAAGGATGACAAAGCAGAGCTGAGCTGCTTCGCCAGGGCTCCCTCAGGGTAGAAGTCTAGCCTAAGTGCAAGGGGAGGAAACAACAAAAGCATGCCAGCTGCCTAGCAGGGAAGCAGGCTGGACTTCCTGCCTCTGCTAAAGGGCACCCCGTCCCGCGCAGCATGGAGAAACAGGAAGTGCTCGGCACGGGTGGCTTTGGCCCCCGGTGCACTGTCTCTGCCCATGTGACACCAAGCAAGTCCCTCCGAATTTGTGCCCATGAGCCTCTGCTCTCTGTGGCCTACTGTGAACCTATTGTGGGATTTAAGGAAATAATAGACGCTTCTGCTTGTCACAGACCCGGGATTTAGCAGACAGTGGCCAAGTTACTGTTAGGGGAACCACCAGTCAGAAAGTGAGCAACTGGGCTGTCAGTTGAGAGCTCCCGCCAGTGCGTCCTCGGAACGGAAATGCTTCCGAGCATGCATGTTCTCACCGGTCATCTTCTCCACGGGTATCTACGGAGAACCTGCACCTGGCGCCATGCTCTATGCCAGGCACAAGGCCCTGAGGCAGCACATGCTTGTCTTGGGGAAGTTTCCTCATCTTTTCCAGGGAGGGCAAACGACAGGGCTTAACCCAGGGCAGCTGGCTTAAATTCTGCACAGCCTGTCTTCCTTTTGTGTCCAGGCTTGTTTCTTCCAGGTCCAAAATGATCTCCATGACTGTGCCAAGACTTCTGGGAGAAAAAGAAGGCACGAGGTGCGCTGAGGGCCAGTGGCGGCGGGGGCGGGGAGTGGGCAAGAATGGCCCTGACACAAGACATTTGTCAGGATTGCTCTTCCAGCAAACTCTGTCTCACTTCAGGGCCAGACCCAAGACTTGGAAAAACAAGTGACACCAGCACCTTTGGGGTGGCCGGAGACGCCACATCACAGGTGCTGCTATGTAGGGAGTGAGAGGAAATGGATCAAGGACTCAGCCAAGGACAGCAACCCCCCTCAGTACAACACTCACCGGCTCAGGAGTCCAATAAAGCACAAGCCCTTAGGCTACCACACGTAGCCCCGCTTAATCCCAGCCTATGATCCAGGGGACTCACTGAAGGTGGTCTCACAGACTTCCCTTCCGCTGTCACTGACAGGATCCCAGTCCTGTCAGCGGGCTCAATCAAATGTCATTAGAGCTTAGGCCTAAGGGGCTGGGGGTTTAGCTCAGCGGCACAGCACCTGCCTGGCAAGCGCAAGGTTGTGAGTTCGATTCCCGGTACCGGAAAAAAACAAACAAACAAAAAATAACAACAACAAAAAAAAGTTCAGGCCCAAGTCACAGACCTTGGAACTGGTCCTCAGAATATACGAAAGTCTTTCTTCCCTGAGGAGATCACCTCTCGTCCCTTTCCTTGCTCTACCTCCCTGAGGAGCCTGTTTAAAATACTGGCAGCAGAGAGGTTATCTTGAAAGCAATATACCCCCAACTGGAGTCTTTTGCCAGGGGCCACTGCCACCTCCAGCCAGTTACAGGTGGAATTTCTCAGGCCAGTGTCTGCACAGGGGATCTGAGGAGGAGCAAGCAAAATAAACCCAGGGAGTAGGCAAGCAACCTACTTGGTCACAGAGGGAGTAAATGAAGGGAAAGAGCTCCCAGAGAATCAACCAAGAGTTCACACCAACCCACACACATCTGGTGGGGAGAGAGACCTATTATGTACCAAGTGCTTTAAATGCTTTCTCTCATTTAATCTTCACGTTGACCCCATGGGTGGTAGGTGGTGCTATTATCCCTGCTGCAGATGACAAAGCCAAAAGTCAAAGACTTAAACAACTCATCTTGCTATTAAACCATGAAGACATAAGAGAGAACCCAGAGATACACAGTTTGAGGGCCCAGCTTTCTTTCACGATGCTATTCTGCCTCCCCATATGTAAAATCTTATTAGAATAAGACTGCAATGATCTTGCATGTTTACTTTGGTTCAGAAGCTGAAGTCTCAAGCTGAAGTTCTAGGGCTGGGGATGTGGCTCAGTGGTAGAGTGCTTACCTAGCATGCACAAGGCCTTCAGTTCAATTCCCAGTACCACCAAAAAAATTGTCCTGATGCTCTCAGGCTGAAGTTCTGATACCCAGTTCTACTTTTCAGTCTCATATATTTTGCCCTATCTCAGTTTATATCATCATTAGTTACTGAAAAACCATCAGGCATTGTCCTAAGTCCTACAGGAGATGAAAAGGTGACGTCAGCATAAGTGTTGCCCTCAAGTAACTTCTAGCCTGTCTGGATAAGGCAGACTGTGCTGCTGTAACAAATAACCTCTGAATCTTAATAGCTTAACTCAGCACCTTTCCTATTCACACCACATGCGCATTTTAAAGCAGCTGGGTCCTTACTCCAGGACCCAGGCTAATAGACAATTAATCGTCAGATATCTTAAACACAGCAGTCACCATGACAGGGGAGAAAGAATGCACTCAGTTACACCAGCTCTTAACACTTCCTCTGAAAATTTCCTCCCCACAGGAGCTCACACCGATGCTACTCACATTTCACTGGACAAAACAAATCGGCCAGGGATAACTCCAAGGGATTAAGGATGTACAAACCTGTCCCAAGTCTGGTAATGGGAAAAAACCTGAAAACGTTGGTGGATAGCCCTAACAGTAACCATAGTCTGTGGAGCAGAATGACTCAGAGCTTCCTGCTATACATTCCTCAACAGTGCAAGGCCAAAAGATTAAGGACCCCGAGAGTGCGAGCATACAGAGCTTACATCCTAAGGACGCACCAGAGAAAGAACCATGCCTGGCTGGAGAGCTCAGGGAAGGATGGAGCTAGTGAAGACCTATGGGGAGCCTTGAAGCGTGGAATGAAGTTGGACGGACCTACAAGCCCAGACCAGGTGCATCTGCCTTGGCCTACAGTAGGTTGATGGTGACCCACCACCAATCACACTCATGAATGACACAGATTATTCCAGGCCTAGAGAGACAACTAAATGAACCCCTGAAGGCAAGAATAGGCACAGTGGGCTTCAGGGAAACAGGAGCCACAAGAGCCGGGCAGAGTGTTGGGACCAGTGAGAAATATTGCGCCAAGCTATTAGTTTCAAAGGTATGGAAGATGTTCAAACAGAAGCAAACTGTGATTAGAGTAGGTCTTCAAGGCCAGTGATCAGTGGCTACATTCTTTTGTTTATTCATCCCTTCATTTCCCGAATATTTTAATTATTTTGCTTAGGGAATGCAAAGGAGTAGCAGGCTTGATTCCTGCCCTTAATTGCTCCAAGCTTTAGTAGAAGAAGAATAAATGCCCTGGTTATTTGTAATGCCCTTGCTTTTAAGAGGGACGGACCTCAGATACTTTGATGGGCAGAACGTTACATTTCAAGGAAGCAAGACTACAGAGGAAAAGGGACCAAGCAGGCTAAATTGCTAGACAGGGCTGGGTTGATGGTGAGGGATCCAGTGGTGGGAGGATGCTGCAGCCAGCACAGCTGGAGGAAGGTAGCAAGGGGATGCGTGGAGGAGACAGAGGAGATACACAGCTGGCAATGGGAGAAAAGGCTCCCAGAGTGAAGGGAGAGTTTCTGTGGGGAGTTTTGTGTGTGTGTGTGTGTGTGTGTGTGTGTGTGTGTGTGCCGTGTAAGCGCTCCACATTTCTCCCTGGAGAGCATTGCAGTAAAGCCTACATTACTGAAATGCTTTGGAAGGTGATTTGAGAGGTTAGAAGTGGGCATGTGGGTTACAATGAAGTGTTGACAGTGGCCTCAAAGTGGGTAGGGTGTGAGCAGGGACTTCCCAAGAGAGTCCAGTCTAGTTTTGTTAAATACAGCTATGCAATCCAACTGTATATAGGATAAAGCAGGTCATGCTAGGACTGGGAGAACTAGTCAAGAAAATCTACTTAAAGGAAATGAAGGATGACCCTGATATCAGTTATTCAAAGATCAGAAAATGAGCCCATCCCATTTAGATGAATGGAACACTCTCTAGTCCAAGCACCAACAGCAGCACATGCAAAGGCCCTGGGATGGCCTAGAACGGCCTGCCTTGACTGACTAACTTCATGCAAACCCTGATGGAGAGGAATATGAAGGATAAAGTCAGAGGGGCAAGTTCAGTGCTGTAATCTAACAATCAGGATCGGTGCAAGAAAGCCTACATTCACCTTTAAAATCATTCACTCAGTATTTACTGTCCCTTCATCCTGTGCAGGTTTTATACTGTTACACAAATCTTCTAGTTTTTTTTCTATTGCTGGGTTTTCTGCATGCTAGGCAAGTGTTTGATCGCTGAGCTATCCCAGTACTTTTCATTTTATTTTGAGATAGCATCTCACTAAGCTGCCCAGGCTGACCTTGAATTTGAATCCTCCCTCCTCAGCCTCCCAAGTAGCTAGGATTACAGGCATAGGCCACCATGCCCAGCTAAAAAAATTTGTTTTTATTTGGCATAAAAGCTAGTCATTTCATGATTTCCTATTAGCTTATTAGTCAGAAAAGTGATGGATCCCAAGACATCCTGACATTTCCGTGCACCTTTCCCGTATAGCGTGCCAATGTTTATTTACCTTGCTGCTAAGTGCCACCTCTCTCTGTGCCAAATGGCTGCGGGTCTGGTGTCCCAGCAGGTGAAGGATTGCCTGAGACAGCAGCAAACAGGAGCAGAAAGCTGGTGACTGTTAAAACACACTTCTTGACGTACAGCCCACTGTCAGGTAGGAAAATGTATCTGCCCTGATCAGAGCCAGAAGTATGTGGAAGGTGGGATGTGAGAGTCAGCGCGTGCCATGCGTATTTTAGCTGTCCACCTGGGAAACCTCCCAATCAGCATTTATTTCAATAATCTCATGCATTTCCACCGCACCTTTCTCCAAAATGCCTCCAAAGCAGTTTGTAAGTTTTATAGAGCAGGGGAATTACCATGGCCAGAATAGAAGGAAATAGATACTTATCAGCCTCCCAGGGAGAACATGGGACTAAGTGTACTTTTGTTGAGAAGTAGAGGGATCCAAGAATGTGTATTTCATTCAGAATGTGGGTGTATTTAAGCAACATTGTACTTCATTAAAATGTTATTCAGATTTCTTAATTCATTCAGAGCCTACCCAGCTTTCTCCTGCTTCCAGATTTATCTCCACAGTTGACACGAAATTTTGATGCCCGGGAGCAGTACTATGGCTTACATTTGGATATTACTTTTCCCTAAACACCCAGGAGAATGGCAGTGGGTGGGGGATCTCGTGTCACTCTCTTGGGTCACATATGATGCGTTTCTAGGCCGCTTCTCAATAGGGGTTGAAGGGGACTCAAGAGGCCAGAGAGCCCTTGTGAGGAAAGTGAAGGACTTCTGCGCATTTCCTTTGGACAGTATAAATATTTACTGAGCAATCACTATGCTCTAGAAACTCTGCCAGGGTGTGGAGATCTAACTAAGAGCAAATAAAATAAAAATAAAATGGCCCCTGACCTCTTGGAGCGAGCCATCTGGTAGGGAAGAGGATACTTAGTCCGATCATTGCACAGATCACTGTAACTTTAGCATTGCTATAAAGGTGACAGAAGATGATGCTGAGGCCATAAGCAGGCTGCCTGACCTCGACTGGAGGACAGGGCTCAGGGAAGTGTCGGGAAGATGAACCAGGGGACGCAGGCAGAGACAGGCATTTGCTATACAGGGTACGGGTACAGGTTCAAAGAAACAATGCTTGGGAGTGGGCTGTACCTTTAGGAACCCGGCCGCACAGCCGGAAGTGAGCAGCAGATGAGCAAGTAAGGCTTCACCTGCGCGCCTCTCCTTATCTCCGGCATCACCGCCTGAGCTCCACCCCCTCAGAGCAAACTGTGCTGGAACTGCACATGCGAGGGGTCCAGGGCGGGCCCACCTCGTGGCAATCTGATGATCCGAGGCAGAGCTGAGGAGGTGATGCTACACAGCACTGAAGAATGTAATTATTACATACAACAAACACATAGCAATAAAAAGAAGAGAACTTAACCCCCCTCACCCCATCCCGCGGAAACATTATTGTCCATAAAACTGGTCCCTGGTGCCAAAAATGGTTCTGTAAGGAGCCAAGCGCACCACCTGACGCAGTCAGTGGGCTCTCGCTGTCATTTTTCTGTGTCACTCTGTGTCCCTGTGGCCTGGGACAAGCTCGACTCAGCCTACTTATCTCTGTCTACTCAAATCCTTCCGGAAGCCACCGTTGCCTTCCCGCCACCATTGCCTGCCAGGTCTCTTGAGACAAACACACACATAAATACAGCAATATATATTTATATTCCCCAGGATTGTCACATTTGCTGAGCTCATAAAAGAACTGAGCAAATAGCCCTGTCATCCTCTGTAATCGGTGCTATCCTTCATCAGAGCTCCGGCTCTCCCGATCCTCCCAGACTCCTGCAGCTCAGAAAGTCATGGGTTGGGCCGATTCTTCAGTGTGGGCGATCCACGCTAACCGGATGTAAGTCTCAGGCATCCGTTTCCCTGGCGGGTTGACAGAATGTTTAGGCCAGGGGGATTTCCTTCATCTACTCCTCTTGCTAAGCAAGTGAACAACTGTTCGCTACTTCAAATATCAGAATTTTAGATAAAAAGAAGTGAACCACAGGTTCTCACAAGGATGAATCTCCAAAACATGAACCTGAGCAAAAAAGTCAGACTACAATGAATACATGTGATATGATTCTATGTACTGGAAATTCTAGAAGAGGTAAAATTAATCTATGGTGACACAAAGCAAGTCAGCCTTTGCCTGAGGCCAGGATTGGGGACAACCCAACAGAGAAGGATACAAGGGAATCTGGGGGCAGGGGGCGCAAATGTTCAAGTTGTGAGTGTGGAAATGACTGCTCTGGTGTATGCACTTGTCAAAATTCATAGCGCTGTATGCTTACAATGAGTGTATCTGATTGTTTAAAAAATCAATAAAGCGATTTTTAAAGCAGATAAATGGACTTTCTATTGCCTGGACAAGGGAGCAAAAGGAGATCCAAGAGCAATTGCAGGAAACTCCAGCTAGCCAGACACACTTGCCTTTGTGTCGGTCCCATCCCCACTCCTGTTTTTTCTTTTGGCAAGAAGCAGGTCTTTATTACGTGCACTAACGGGGAGGACCCATGACAAGGAGAATCCAAAAAGAGAATAAATAATCCCCAAGTCACTTACATCTGGTGGCACAGAAATATGTTTTTTGGCCTATGTGGAATTTGAATAGAGCCGTGTCGGCTTGATATCCCAACATACACCTCCAATGAGAGAATGAATTTGCCCAGAAGAACCTGATGTTGAGGACCAGTAAGCACCTCATGTTCTTGCCTGGCTCCCTTTCTCCTTCCTCCCATTCCAAGGAGAAAAGGCAACGACTTGACCAGTTCCTAACCTTCCTCCAAGAAGCCTGTCTAGTCTGCTATTTCTACCTTGGTGAGATTTGGTACCTCTGCAGCAAAGTGCAATGCAAATAGCAGGAGTAGAGGTGCCTAAGCCATTGCAAAAGGACTTGGGGGAAAATGTTTTCCTGCAAATAAACTGGAATTATCTACTTGCAGATAATTGAGAACAGATTCTTAAAAATCAGGTTTATCTATGTAACATGCAGTTCAGCTCGTTCGGGCTCTAAGAAATCTTTCCTGGCACGCTGCATGCCCCAGTCCCAAGCCACTCCTGAGGTTGGATTCGCCCCGCCTCCTGTCCCCAGCACTCTGTACTTTGTCCTTCATGGCACTTACCACGTGGAAGCAAATGTCTGTTTACTAATCTGTGTCCTGGACCAGACTGAGGGCTCTTTGAGAACAGGGTCTGCTGAGGTCACTGTGTGTCCTCAGCTGCTGGAACAGTGGCAGGCTCATAGTAGGTGCTTAATAAGGAGTTGCTGAGTTGTTATTGTTCTGGACACATAACAACAGAGTTTATTTAAGGTTCTGAAAATCAACCGCACAAACAGGAAAACTCTGGCGCTTCTGAAGGGAGCTCCACCCAAGCATAGCCCCAGCAGGAAATACCAAAAAGTCAGTATCGAGCACAGAAATCACTGTTTGTGTTTCAAGGCAAACTCTCCTGTGCTGATCTCTAAGAAGCAGTGGAATGGCCAGGTGTGGTAGCACACGTCTGCAATGCCAGCTGCTCAGGTAGCTGACGCAGGGAAACTGAAAGTTCAAGCCCACCCTATGTAATTTAGGGAGACCTTGTCTCAAATTTCAAGAAATTTTAAAAAGGGACAGGGAAGTAACTCCATGGTAAAATGGTTGCCTAGTATGCACAAAGCCCTAGGTTTGATCTCCAGCAGCCTCACTCCAAAAGGCAAGAGGCTATGGAATAAACAGTCTGGAAAATATAAGCAAATGAATCCTCAAATGATAGCAGAGGGAGGGGGATGTTCCTTGATAGCGCAACACCCTGGGGGAGCTGCAGCAACACTGAATCTGGAGTCAAGGGCCAGGCATGGCCGTCTGGACTCTCAGGGCCTCTGTAAATGACATACCAACCCCTCCTCGGAGAACGCTGCAGAGTTCCATGTGCACGACCTCAAGCTCATGCACATTTCAGCTGCCTGCACTGTGAGGAGCAACAACAGCAAAATAAGTCCTACTCTGCTATGAAGACAGACAAACTTGTCTGGGTGCACCTTGAGACCATGATGTTAAGGGCGTCTAATAAACCAGACACACAAGCTTCAACATCACCTGGCTTCTCTTATATGAGAAACCCAAAGTATAAACAAAGAATAAAATGAAGGTAGTAGGAAGTAGGGAAAGATTGTTCTCAAATGGGAAGGGGGTCAAGAGATGAAAGAAAGCCGGCCATGGTGGCACATGCCTGTAATCCCAGCATTTGGGAGGTTCAGACACTAGGGTCACTGCAAGTTTGAGGCCAGCCTGGACTACATAGTGAGTTCAAGGACAGCCTGAACTACATAGCAAGGGCCTGTCTCAAAAAAAGAAGAGAGAGAGATGGAGAGAGAGGAGGAGGGGAATGGGGATGAAAAGGAATTAAGATGTGTCATATATATGTACCAACTCCACACAAGAAATGTAATCATTATGTACTGCAGACATGGACTAATAAAAAAAAAGCAAAACATATGTGGGTCTTTAAGGTAGACAGAGTAAGAAGACAAGAAATGAAAGAATTCAGAATATAATTGCAAATTACTGCTCATTATTCAAATACTGACTTCCAAGATATGGATCACTCTAATCGCTATTTTCCTCCCACAGCCTTCTGGGAAGTATTCACCTTTGGCCTCCCCCGTCCCAGCCCCCAGTGAGTGAGGAGCAGGCAGAGAGCTGAACTCACTCAGCGTTGCCGCATTATCGAGAAATCAAGAAAGCAAGTGCTTGCGGACAACACACTCTGCTTCACATAATTTCTCCTTGTTGAGGATCTAGGTACCAATCCCCAAAGACTAGACGCTCACTGATTGACTGATAACACCTCATCCTTTCAGTAAAGTGCTTAGTTAAGAAGTGGTCTGGGGGTGGGGCCAACATTCAGTGGTAGAGCACTTGCCTAGCATTGAGGCCCTATGTTTGATCCCCAGCACCAGGAAAACAGAAGCAGCAACAACAGAAACAATAATAATAATAATAATAAATTAAAAGTCCATTTTTTAAAAAGTGACCTAGTGAGCTTAACATAGTCCTACTGCCTATCAAATGACTTATCTTGAACTTAGATGATAAACCCTGCCAGTGCTTTGGGAAAAGCACAAAATTTCACAATACTGAAATCAGATCCACTGGTAAACATTCTGCCCACCACTGTGACATCACTGGGCCTTCGTTCATTAAAAGATTAAGTCAACAAAATTGAAAACATTCTCGTTTGAATCCTGGTTCTGCCTTTTAATAG